CCGCCGCGCTCGCCTGCGGGGGCACGGGGATGCGCATATGGGTCCTTGGGGGTGTCCATGTGCGCTCGGTATAGGGGTGCGCATAGGGGTCCATCGAGGTGTCCCTGTGCGCTCCGTATTGGGGTCCATCCAGGTGTCCCTGCACTCTCTGTATAGGGGTCCATTGGGGTGTCCCTGCGCCCTCCGTATAGGGGTGCGCACTGGGGTCCATCCAGGTGGCCCTGCACCCTCTGTATAGGGATGCACATAGGGGTCCTTGGGGGTGTCCCTGCACCCTCCATATAGGGGTGCACATTAGGGTCCATCGGGGTGTTCCTGCGCCCTCCGTATGGGGGTGCACATTGGGGTCCATCCAGGTGGCCCTGTGCCTTCCATATAGGGGTCCATCCAGGGTCCCCATGTCCTCTGTATAGGGGCATGGGGATGTGCATAGGGGCCCATCAGGATGTCCCTGCACCCTCCGTATAGGGATGCGCATCGGGGTCCATCAGGGTATAGGGGTCCTTGCAGGGTGAGCATAAGGGTCCTTGAGGGGTGTCCCTGTGCCCTCCGTATAGGGATGCGCATAGGGATCCATGGGGGCTCCCCATGTCCTCTGTGTAGGGACACATAGGGGTCCATTGGGGTGTCCCATGTCCTCCATATAGGGACATAAGGACATGCCTAGGGGTCCATGGGGGTGTCCCCATGTCTTCCATATCGGGACACATGTAGGGGTCTATGGGGTTGTCCCCATGTCCTCCATATAGGGACACGCTTAGGGGGTCTATGGGGTTGTCCCCACACCCTCCATATAGGGACATGCATAGGGATCCGTGGGGGTGTCCCCGCTCTCTCCGTCCCATCCCCACCGCCATCCGCGGCCACTCACCCGGTGTCCTTTGTCACCTGGGAGCCCCGGCAGCCCGTCAAAGCCCCGGTCACCCTGGAAGAGGCAGCAGGAGCGGGTCGGATCACCGAGGTGCCAAACCGGGTCCTCCCCGGCTCGTATCCCGCTCCGGGGATATCCCGGCGCCGCGCGTCCCCTCCCGATCCCATTACCTTAATGCCAGGATCTCCGGGCATCCCGCGGGCGCCGTCAGCCCCCGGCCGACCCTGTGGGACGCAGAGTGGGGTGAGAGGGGGCTCCAGGTCATGTCCCCCGATTCCCATCCCGTCCCATCCAACTCACCCTCCGGCCGGGCTTTCCGGGGGGTCCGGTCAGGCCCTGGGGACCTCGGGGACCCTGCGGAGAGGGAAGACAAGGGCTGGAAAGGCTCCTATAAGGGGAGAGGGGGTGGAGGACCCCCCTGGCATTCGGGGGGTTGGATATGGGGGCCGGGAGGGACCGGACTCGGATACCTGGGGTCCAAAGTCGCCGGATTCTCCCTTCATGCCGGTGCTTCCAGGCTGCCCCTGCGGACCGAGCGCGGGGAAGGGGGGACAGTTACGTGGGGGGGAGGCCCCCCCCACCACCCCCCC